ATTTCTGACCATGCCCTACATTTATCCTTTGGTAACTTCTCACTTCCCCATCTCCCTCCACTGGAGACTATAGCTATATATGTGTATAAGGGGTGGGGGTGGGGGCAGTGAGAGGGTTATGTGTATGTGTATAATGCGGGGAGGTCAGATAAGTATGTATATAGGGGACTGATGTCATGTATATGTGTATATGTTGGGGAGCAGAGGTCAGGTGTATCGGAACATATGGGGAGGGAAGATCACAACTCTCCTCATCCAGCTGCTCTATCCTTGCATAGGAGGCTGAGAGATGGGGGTGGGGATCAAGAGGGTGTCTCTCCCTTTTTATTAGCCCCAATGTACTACAGGATTGCTGGTGGTTATTTCTCACAGAATTTTTTTTTTTTAAAGATGACCAGTAAGGGGATCTTAACCCCTTGACTTGGTGTTTTCAGCACCACGCTCACCCAGTGAGCTAACCGGCCATCCCTATACAGGGATCCAAACCTGTGGCCTTGGTGTTATCAGCACCGCACTCTATCAAGTGAGCCATGGGCCGGCCCTTCTCATAGAATTTTTAAAAATATCTGATAGATGGATGTTTTTTCCCACAAGTATCAAGTGAGCCACGGGCCGGCCCTTCTCATAGAATTTTTAAAAATATCTGATAGATGGATGTTTTTTCCCACAAGTTACACCTTTTAAAATCATTTTTATTGTTTACACCATAACTTAATTAACACTTGTTCATTTATTTTAGGTAGGACTTTAAATAGTCTTCTCAACAAATAGTGGTGGGACAACTAAATAGCCACGTGAGAAAGAATAAAGTCGGACCCCTATGTCAGACCATGTATTACGAGTCAGAAGCTCAAGAATTAGGAAAGCTGATGGTGTAATTCAGTTAGACTCCAAAGGCCTGAGAAAGGGATGGGAGATTCTGCTGGTGTAGGTCCTAGAGTCCAAAGGCCTGAGAACCAGGAACTCCAGTATTCAAGGGCAGGTGAAGATGGAGAAGGGAGAGGGAATTCACCCTTACTCTGCCTTTTTGTTCTGTCTGACTCTGAAAGGTTTGGATGATGCCTGCCCACATTAGTGAGGGAGGTCTTCTTTACTCAGTCTACTGATTGAAATGCTTTTCTCTTCTAGAAACATCTTCATAGAAACATGCAGAAATAATGCTTTACCAGCTAGCTGGGCATCCCTTAGCCCAGGCAAGTTGACATGTAAAATTAACTGTCATCTATATGAAAATTAACTCAAAATGGATCAAAGACTTAAATGTAAAAACTAAAACTATAAAACTTTTAGAAGAAACCATAAGTGTAAATCTTCCTGACCTTGGATTTAGCAATAGTCTCTTAGAAATGGAACCAAAAAAACAAGCAACTCTCCCCACAAAATAGGTAAATTAGGTTTCATCAAAATTAAAAATGTCTATGCTTTGAAGGTAAGTGGAAAAAACACAAACTGTTTCTCCCACTCTACTCTCACAACACACTTTTGACACCAGTATGGGGATTTCTCACCACCAGCAAGCAGGCAGGCAATCTGTTTTCCAGCAGACACCAACTGGGTGTTTTCCAATTCATTTCCCATGCTACTTACATGAAGACAGCATTGGGTCTCACAGTCTTGTGGGACTGAGCCCACTGTAGGCATCAGTCACAAATCTGGACCACTGGAGCTTCTGACTGACCAGCTTCAACTTGGGGTTCCGACAACCCCCACTTTGGGTTTGATTAATTTGCTAGAGCAGTTCACAGAGCTCAGAAAAACATGTTTACTGGTTTATTATAAAAGATATTACAAAGGATACAGATGGAGATACATAGGGCAAGGTATGGGAGAAGGGGTATGGACCTTCCATGTCCTCCCCAAGCCTGACACCCTCCAGGAACATGTTCAGCTATGAACCCTGAACCATGTGTTCAGCTATAAAGCTCTCTGAACACTGTCTCTTCAGGTTTTTAGGGAAGCTCCATTACATAGGCATGATTGAAGCATGGACAACTGTGTAGAAATATGATTGGACAAAAAGGGCATGATCTAACACTAATACACTGGGGAAACCCAGTAAGGCCTGTTTGTTCAGATTCTTCTCAGCCTTTCTGTGCAGCTTTCCTTTCTTCCAGGTGTGCGGCAGGGCTCCTCCTGAAATGGGAGTCTTATCACCTGCAATTAGAGAAAGTAGGTCAGAGAATATTTTTATGGCCAGCTCCAAGACAGAAAGGCAGAAGATTAGAGTTTTGCCTTGGTGAGCCAGGAACCATAAACGAAAAGCAATATTTATATATATGATAATATCACTGAAGTACACCATCAACCCAGCTCCAAGACAGAAAGGAAGAAGATTAGAGTTTTGCCTTGGTGAGCGAGGAACCATAAACGAAAAGCAATATTTATATATATGATAATATCACTGAAGTACACCATCAAGAAAGTAAAAAGACAGCTTATTGAATTGGAGCAAATATTTCCAAATCATATATCTTATATGAGACTTATATTTAGAATATATAAAGAACACCTACAGCTAAATAATAAAAGGACAGATAACCTAAATAGATAAATGGGCGAAAGATCTAAACAGATGTTTCTTCAAAGATTTACAAATGGCCAATAAGCAGAAAAAAGATGCTCAACATCTCAGATTTACAAATGCCAATAAGCAGAAGAAAGATGCTCAACATCTCTGGTCATCAGAGAAATGCAAACTCAAATCACAATGAGGTACCACTTCACGTTCATTAGGATGGCTAGAAAGATAAAGATGGACAATAAGAGATGATGGCAAAAATGTAAAGAAATCAGAGTTCTTATACACTGCCGATGTGAAGGTGAAATGGTATTGTCACTTTGGAAAACAGTGTGGCAAAACAAAAAATGGTATAGTTACTTTGGAAAACAGTGGTAACTCTATGTTTAACCTGAAAAGATTAAACATAGTTACTATATGACCTAGCAAATCTACCTGGGTATATAGATATTTACCCAAGTGTTATGCTCTGAAAGTTTGTTCCCTCCAAAGCTCACGTGGAATCTTGTTCCCCAGTGTGGCAGTGTTGAAAGATTGGGCCTTTGAGGGGTGATTGAATCATAAGGGCTCTGTCCTCATGAACGGGTAAGTCCATTCATGGATAAATGGGTTAATAATTTAACGGGTTATCAGGGAGCAGCCTGGTGTCTTTATAAGGAGAGAAAGAAAGGATGTGGATGTGCTCTTTGCCCCTCTCACCATGTGATACCTTCCACTGTCTAAGAACTCTGTAGAGAATCCCCACGAAGAAGGAGGTCTTCACTAGATGCGCTCCCTTGCCCTTGTACTTCCCAGCCTCCAAAATTGTAAGAAATACATTTCTTTTTTCATAGATTACTCAGTTTCAGATATTCTGTTACAAGCAACAGAAAACAGCTAATACACCAAGAGAAATAACGTAAGTTCACATAAATACTTATACATGAATGTTCGTAGCAGCATTATTCCCAATATCTAAAAAATGGAAACAACCTAAATATTCATCAGTGGATAAATGGATAAATAAAATCTGGTGTCGTATAGCCTTACAATGGAATAGTATTGGTCCATGAAAAGCATACCTGAAAACATTATGCTAAAGGAAATATGGCAGTCACAAATAAACTACATATTGTATGATTCTGTGCATATGAAATGTTCAGAATAGAAAACAGATTGGTGATTGTCTTGGTCTGGGGGTTGGGTAGTGAGGAAAGGTGGAGGGATTTGGGAGGTGACTAAAGGGTATGGGGTTTCTTTTAGGAGAGGTGGAAAATATTATAAAATTAACTATGGTAATGGTTGCAGACTTCTGTGAATATACTAAACCCATTCACTTTTACTTTTTTTTTTTTTTTTTTTGGTGGCTGGTCAATCTTTACATTTTAATAGATGAATTGTATGGTAAGTGAACTGAATCTCAATAAACCAGTTAACCAAAAAAAAAAAAAAAACAACCAGCACAATCAACCCCCCAAAGTACTCATCTATTCACCTACATTTAAGAGGCCCTGATTTCCAAGTTTGATTTTTTGGAATTGCCAAAATTTGTATACAAGCTTAGAAAAGTATTACTTTTTGGATTTGTTGGATATTTAACGGTTTTGGACAAATCAGATAAATTAAATTTGTTAATACGCTTTGAAATGTCTAAGGCAGTAATTCCCAAACTTTGGGGGGAGGGGGGAGGGGTGGAGCTTTAAAAAAAAAAATTCTCAATGCCCAGGTGGCAACCATACCAATCAGAGTATCTAGGGGTGGCATCAGGGCCTCAATATGTTTGATGATTCTCCAGGTAATTCCAATGTGCTGTAGTGTGTGTAAAACATTCGTCAGGTAATTTAATTATGTAAGTTATGAAAAATGTTTCAAGTGGGACCTAATTTAATTAATCAAAGAACAAACTAAAGTTTTTATCAAAAAATTATTATATTTCTAATTCAAACCAGGTCCACAAGTTGGATTATGCTTGAGATAAACGTTTTGAAAGTGTATAATTGTATGTTTAAAGTATTTGTTAGTGGGCCAACCCGTGGCTCACTCGGGAGAGTGCGGTTCTGATAACACCAAGACCGCGGGTTCGGATCCCTATATAGGGATGGCCGTTTAGCTTACATGGGAGAGCGTGGTGCTGACAACACCAAGTCAAGGGTTAAGATCTCCTTACTGGTCATCTTTAAAAAAAAGTTATTTGTTATTTAAGTATTGAAGTTTTAGATAAAATTGTGAAATATGCTTTCTCCAAGAGCAACACCCCCCTCAGGATTTAAAACCCAGGAGCATGGCTGGGTCCCTGAGTGCTTCCCGAGCAGGTACCCTCGACTGCAGGAGGGAGAGAGTTGAAGTTCGGGAAACCCACTGCTGTTCACGCCTGGCCGGGAAAGGGATCCCACCCACCAGGAATAATTACCTGGCATCCCGGGAGCCTCAGCAATGGCTCCAGGCTGACTTCTTGAGCCATCGGATTTCCCCGCCCCAGCGAAGAGGCGGAGACGCGCAGGGACACGCCTCCGAGCCGCGGAAATGCGCCCGCGAGCCCGGCCCGCGCTGCTCCTCCTGATGCTGCTGCGGACCGTGGTCCCACACCGGCGACCGCCGCGTGAGTCCGAGGGATGAGGGCGAGCTAGGGACGTGGAGGGGGAGGAAAAAGCGAAACTAGCGCTGAGGATTTTACTAACCTCGGAAGAACTGCTCAGCCCTAGTCGCAGTCCCCTCCCCCTACTTTCTGCGCCCCAACCCGGAGAGGCGACGCCTGCCACTGAGCCGCGGACGGGAGCTGCTCCCCCGCCCGCCGCCCCGCCCCCTGTCCCGGACTCCGGTGTCCCTTCTGTTCGGAGTGGCTTTTGTGACCACCCGCTCCTTTCCTCCGGCTGTGACGCTTTGAAATAAATTTCGTAGTTTCTCACTTGGGCTAAGCTAAGCCTGGGGGTCTTTGCACTCGGGTCTCGGTTTTAAGGTTTCAAATACTAGCCGTGCCGTTTCTTCCCCAGTCATCCCAGACCAGGAAGTTCTCACCAAGGGCGACCTTGGCCAGGGCGCCCGCCGCGAAGAGTTAGGAGGCATTTGGCTGAACAAACCCTCAGCGGACCCGTGCGGGGTTTCCACGTCAGAACTAATCGCGCAGGCCGGCGGGGCTGCGTGCAGGCGGGGTTGGGGGTCTGAATTGTACCCCACCTCCACCCCCTTTTGGAAGAGAGCTGGGTGGTCGGCTCCTGAGAGAGGCCTACCTTGGGCTTTTCCCGACTCTTGACAGTTGTTCTTTTGGCTAGAAAAATAAGTGTTATTTTTGAACGTTTGACCTGAACGTAACAGTTCTCTTTTTCAGCCAGGATTTGTTGATTTCGAGGTGCTGTTTAATTAACCGGCCTTTTCTTTCTTTCTTTCTTTCTTTTTTTTTTAAAGATGACCGGTAAGGGGATCTTATCCCTGGATTTGGTGTTGACAGCACCACGCTCACCCAGTGAGCAAACCGGTCATCCCTATATGGGATCCGAACCCGTGGCCTTGGTGTTATCAGCACCGCACTCTACCGAGTGAGCCAGAGGTTGGCCCTTAACCGGCCTTTTCTAAAGGATGCCAAAGTAATGATAATTAGCATTTATGCAGTGTACTCAGTTTTTTTTTTTTTTTTTTTTTTTTTAAAAAATAA